CTAGTGTCCACTCAGAAATGCCATTATGTTGACCTCTATCTACGGTCTACTCTTCCTGTTTTTATAAAAATATCTCAAATGTCGCCTCCCACTACAAACGTAGGCCCTGCATCGCACTGTGTAAGCTGGAATGTACCATAATATATACTTCATATTTGATTTTGTAGAGAAGGTCAAAAACCAGGGCATGACACCAAGGTATATGAAAGACAAGACATCATCATGGATATTTACAGGCATGGGGAAAAGACAGGAAGTGACAGCAGAATGGAGAGACAAATGGAAGGAAGAGAGGTATGGAGAAATGAAAAGAATGGGCAAAAGGCATGGAGAAAGGAAAAAAGAGAGAGAGATATATAGATAAAAAAAATGGAATGGAAAGGAGCCTGGTGAAAGGAATGGAAGGGAGAGAGGAAGGAAGTGGACAGAAACAAGGAAAGAAGATAAAAAAAGAGACAGAAATGTATGGAGAGGACAAAAGGAACAAATCCTTAATTAAGAAAGAAAGAGAAACACATACAAAGATATGAAAGGAAGTGGTGAGAAAGATAGTGAAAGAAGAAAGGGAGATATGAAGGATAAGGAAGCAGGTAAGGAAGGAAGAAATAAAAGATAAGGAAAAGCATGCAGAGAGCTTGAAGATGAAAATCTTGGATTGAAGAAAAGAGAAAACAGAGCCACAGAAAGGAAAAAAGAGTGGAGAGAAAGACAAATAAAGAAAAGAAAGAAGTGATGAAAGAAACTTAATGAAGAAAAAAAAAGAGAAAAACATGGAGTGAATGAAGGAAGAAGACAGGAACATGCAGACAGGAAAAGGAAAAGAGAGGGACATGATGAAAAGAAGTGGAAGAGAGATAGATATAAAAAGATGGAAGAAAGAAGAGAAACTCAATGAAAGACAGAAAGAAGGGCAATGGAGAAGTATACATACTAGTTAAGTATAGTCATCACTTTTATTTATAATTAATGGAATTATGATTGGAATCAATAAGTATTTTCACCTGTGAATTTGATACCTTAAAGACACCAATGTTAGGTACGATACTTATCTACGACAACCGACACCCTAACAGGTCTACATGGAATTAACATCAATAAACTCGATGATCCATAAAAATGCTCAAATTTCATAAATATGTATCGAGTGACCATATTGAGAGATTATAGGGGTGAGGTCTCAATATGGCTCACAAGGAACATGACTAAGAGGTTCACTCACCTGCGAAATATCACGTAAATCATACCTCTATCTCTCCTGGGAAAGGTGACGTTCAACATGCAATACTAAAATTAATTGTAACACCTAATGATGAAAACATCACTGTTCCAAATAGAGGAAGAGGCAACGTACACAAAATGGTGTTAGGGTGACCAGGAGGGTACATCGGTTTGTACAGAACTACGTCATCTTTGTAACAGACATCAAACAAATTAAACCACCATGGAAACAGACATCAGACAGAATTGTATCACCCTGGTAACAGACATCAGAGAGAATGTATCACCCTGGTAACAGACATCAGATAGAATTGTATCACCATGGAAACAGACATCAGACAGAATTGTATCACCCTGGTAACAGACATCACACAGTAACAGACATCAGAGAGAATGGATCACCCTGGGAACAGACATCAGATAGAATTGGATCACCATGGAAACAGACATCAGAAAGAATTGTATCACCCTGGTAATAGACATCAGACAGAACTACATCATTAAACCACCATGGAAACAGACATCAGACAGAATTGTATCACCCTGGTAATAGACATCAGACAGAACTATATCACCCTGGTAACAGACATTAGAAAGAACTACATCACCCTGGTAACAGACATCAGAAAGAACTTCATCACCCTGGAAACAGACATCAGAGAGAATTGTATCACCCTGGTAACAGACATCAGACAGAATTGTATCACACTGGTAACAGACATCAGACAAAACTGTATCACCCTGGTAACAGACACCAGAAAGAACTTCATCACCCTGGACACAGACATCAGAGAGAATTGTATCACCCTGGTAACAGAAATCAGACAGAACTACATCACACTGGTAGAAAGAACTACATCACCCCGGAAACAGACATCAGACAGGATTGTATCACCCTGGTAACGGAGATCAGACAGAATTGTATCACCCTGGAAACAGACATCAGAGAGTATTGTATCTCCCTGGTAACAGACATCAGAAAGAACTACATCACCCTGGTAACAGACATCAGACAGAACTACATCACCCTGGTAAAAGACATCAGAAAGAACTACATCACCCTGGTAACAGACATCAGAAAGAACTACATCACCCTGGAAACAGACATCAGACAGAATTGTATCACCCTGGTAACAGACATCACACAGAACTACATCACCCTGGTAACAGACATCAGACAGAACTACATCACCCTGGTAACAGACATCAAAGGAACTATATCACCCTGGTAACAGACATCAGACAGAATTGTATCACCCTGGTAACAGATATCAGCTAGAACTACATCACCCTGGTAACAGACATCCCACAGAATTGTGTCACACTGGTAACAGACATCAGACAGAATTGTATCCCCCTGGTACAGACATCACACAGAACTACATCACCCTGGTAATAGACATCACTCAGAACTACATCACCCTGGTAACAGACATGACACAGAACTACATCACCCTGGTAACAGACATGACACAGAACTACATCACCCTGGTAACAGACATGACACAGAACTACATCACCCTGGTAACAGACATCAGACAGAATTGTATCACCCTGGTAACAGACATCACACAGAATTGTGTCACACTGGTAACAGACATCAGACAGAATTGTATCACCCTGGTAACTGACATCACACAGAATTGTGTCACACTGGTAACAGACATCAGACAGAATTGTATCCCCCTGGTAACAGACATCACACAGAACTACCTCACCCTGGTAACAGACATCACACAGAATTGTGTCACCCTGGTAACAGACATCAGACAGAATTGTGTCACACTGGTAACAGACATCAGACAGAAGTGTATCACCCTGGTAACAGACATCAGATAGAATTGTATCACCCTGGTAACAGACATCACACAGAACTGTGTCACACTGGTAACAGACATCAGACAGAAGTGTATCACCCTGGTAACAGACATCAGATAGAATTGTATCACCCTGGTAACAGACATCCCACAGAATTGTGTCACACTGGTAACAGACATCAGACAGAAGTGTATCACCCTGGTAACAGACATCAGATAGAACTACATCACCCTGGTAACAGGCATCACACAGAACTACATCACCCTGGTAACAGACATGACACAGAACTACATCACCCTGGTAACAGACATCACTCAGAACTACATCACCCTGGTAACAGACATGACACAGAACTACATCACCCTGGTAACAGACATGACACAGAACTACATCACCCTGGTAACAGACATGACACAGAACTACATCACCCTGGTAACAGACATCACTCAGAACTACATCACCCTGGTAACAGACATCAGACAGAACTACATCACCCTGGTAACAGACATCACACAGAACTATATCACCATGGTAACAGACATCAGATAGAACTGCATCACCCTGGTAACAGACATCACACAGAACTACATCACCCTGGCAACAGACATCACACAGAACTACATCACCCTGGTAACATACATCACACAGAACTACATCACCCTGGTAATAGACATCACACAGAACTACATCACCCTGGTAACATACATCACACAGAACTACATCACCCTGGTAACAGACATCCCACAGAACTACATCATCCTGGTAACAGACATCACACAGAACTACATCACCCTGGTAATAGACATCACACAGAACTACATCACCCTGGTAACAAACATCACACAGATCTACATCACCCTGGTAACAGACATAAGACAGAACTACATCTCCCTGGTAATAGACATCAGACAGAACTACATCACACTGGTAACAGACATCACACAGAACTACATCACCCTGGTAACAGACATAAGACGGAACTACATCACCCTGGTAACAGACATAAGACAGAACTACATCACCCTGGTAATAGACATCAGACAGAACTACATCACACTGGTAACAGACATCACACAGAACTACATCACACTGGTAACAGACATCACGCAGAACTACATCACCCTGGTTATAGACATCAGACAGAACTACATCACCCTTGTAACAGACATCAGACAAAATCTACATAAATATTAATGTGTTATGTGAATTAGTGTTCCTTATCTAAACATAATCTTGGTTTTTACTACATTTAATCATACATATATTTGTCCAATTTCCTGAAACCTCCTCCTAAAAACATAAACAACTATCTCCCTTATTGATTTCTGAAGTTTATAATCAATCTTTTATGAAATAATTACATTTGCAGCATCTTATGAGTGTAGTTACATTGAAATCCTTCTTATCTGATAAATACATCTTAGGACACAAATGTTATCACTGACTCTAGTACAGCCTTTTAGGGGAACATCTTGGCCCATTTTTCATTCAACACAGCTTTAAATAGTAATTATTCATCCCTTCCCAAATCCTAGTGTTGTGTCTATAAATGACTCTCCCTGCATTACTTGGTCAGTGGTTACATAAAAAGATAACATCCCATTCAATATCTCTCAATCTTATCTACACATTTTGTGGTTCCGCCATCGTAGTTGCAAGTTGAGAATAACTTTTGATAAAATGTGTCAACAACACATTTTGAAATTGACAACTTCATCTGTTAGCTTAACTTAAACTATGTCATCTGGCGGGGTTGTCAATATCGCGCAAACGACATGCATGTTAATTGCATTTTAGAGTAAACACTGATAAACCTTGGAATACTTTTACGTAAATGTTAACTAGAAACGGACGAATCAAAATAAGCCGTTCGACAAATACACACATGTACAATATCGCCTCGTTAGTATAATTGTAAACAGAATTAGCCGGGCGAGTGACCATCGGGTACTCAAAACACTTACCGTGAGGAAGTTTTCTAGCGATCGACTTGGATCTCATGATGGTCTGGGATGTTATTTTCAGATTCTTCAAAATGCATCAAAATTCAGACACCCCGTCCACAGAACTGTCAGATGAATTGAAGTCTTCTTTTACCTACACGCATGCGTAGAGCTAATCTTTTACGATACTTATTAGGAGCTTTCACTTTTCGTGTGTATCATTCACCAAACCCTATTAAATCGAATTAGTGTATGTACCGTTACTTTGACATAGCGGCAGAGCAAAGATACCGTTCTGTTCTGTCTCAGATAATCTTTGTATTATTGAGTCCATGGGCCAGTCTCAAGATTCAATGGATTAATGTATTTTGTATATGACACGTCTGCGTAAACTCGAGGTGGATTATTTTAGGGGCTGGCTACTCGAGTTGATATCTATGGTGTATCATACCAAGTAATGTGTTAAAGGCTAAATTGTCTCAAAGACTTTCTTTGTGTGATCGGTTTGCCCAATGCACACCTTATTACTTAGTCATTTGTGTCTCTGATCCACATACAATACCTATTTATATATATACATACATTCAATCCGTACACTGTTATGCATGATAAAGAGAAAAACCTATCATGCAAAAGCCAGTGTTTTAACTTATAAGCTTGACAAAAACAAATCGTTATAGACAACAAAAAATGAAAATAATTAACATAATCAACTTTTTAATATGACAATGTATTTCAAATCATGTTATTGACAAACAAGTAAAAAAAAAAAAACACTCATTAAAATTATATCTTTGTATTGCTCCCGTTAATTTAGTGACATGTCGGGTGGAAATTTACAACATCCCTCAAACGTCACGCTAGAGGTCAACTTGAATAAATCAGATTGGTAATAATTCAATCTGTAGATTTTTATTGATAACACTTATTTATTTCCTTAATAAAAAAAAAATAAAAAAAAATTGGTACATAAATGATATCACATTACTTTAAAATACAATGATTATTATAATATAATATGTTATATGTATGAGATACAGTCAATAAGACTCGCTTGATTGAGTAATCTATCCTAGTGTTTTTGCGCTACTCTATACTATTAACCTTCTCTGTTGAACTCCTCCAATAATATGTTTGTTGATGGTTTTGTATCGTAAATGAATGGGTTTTGATTCGCATATTGGACAGGACACATGGATTTTGTTTCAGTTTCATTAAAATCAAACAGTATTAAATATCAAAATATACCATATCAAAATTGTCGGTAAATCTTTCTTTTCCAATTTGTTGAGAATCTGGGTAAACAAAATTATCTCAAATCCTGACTTTACCAATTTGTCGTAAAACCTGACTTTACCAACCTTTACCAGTTTGTCGTAAAACCTGACTTTACCAATTTGTCGTAAAACCTGACTTTACCAACTTTTCGTAAAACCTGACTTTACCAACCTTTACCAACTTGCCGTAAAACCTGACTTTACCAACTTGCCGTAAAACCTGACTTTACCAATTTGTCCAACTTGCCGTAAAACCTGACTTCACGTTCTTCAGCCCACTCTTTGCCAATATGACACAAGACAAGACATTACTATCATCGACCTGAAATAATCAACTTCACGCGACCTGATCATGACTTAATAAATAAATCGCGTAGCCTAACATTACCGATTTGTCGTAACACTTGACTTTACAAGCTCGTCGCGACCTGACTTTACCAAAATGTCGCTGGACCAGACTCCAACGTTTCGAGGGCTGACTTTTACTTATTTATGTAACTACGATTACCATGTCTGACTTTACCAACATCCTCCTTTTTTTTTTTACATCGACATCATCTTTATGTTGACTATGAAGAGGAGGAAGAGGAGAGGAGGAGGAGAAAGAGGAGAGGAGGAGGAGAAAGAGGAGGGGGGGAGGAGAAAGAGGAGGGGTTTTGTTTTCTTTGATGTCCCCTAAGCTAAAGGCACAGAATAAATCCCCGATTCTACAAGGGGCATAGGCACATTAGTCGCCTCTTACGATAATTGGCAGTCGATACAGCAGGTCTATATTTCCCCTGAATCTACAGGGACTAAAATTGAAAAGACGAGGATAGCAACAAAATTACCATAAACTGACCATTCCTTTTCTTTTCCATTCACTTGTCAATAGACTTCACTGGTCAACACCCAATGGTCAATATCCAGTTGTCCAGAAAATGTCGGTATACCAATTATTTCCAAAGGAGAATTTTTCACACATTATACGAACGTCAGTTGTTAGCGGACTATAGATATGTCGGCGTACTTGATGTTCTCGTCTCGGTCAATACCGGTCAAAAACAAACACCCTACCTTCGCTGGTCATTCGATACTGACAAAATGGATCGTATTTGTATAACAGTTAGGACAGGAAGGAAGGTTGACCAAGATGTTTAACAATTTACAGAAGAAGGGTCGGTGCTAGATTGTAATGAGGCTAGCTCCTTTCCCAGATAAATATCAAACCTGGCGTTATATAAGGACACCAATAATCGAGGGGCTAGTCGAGGGAGGTGTGTCAATATGACACAAAAACACGACACCAGAAGGAGTTTGGCTTCTTGCACAGTATGACAGAAGCCATCCTCGATATCCTGGAGTTTCGCTCACTTTCGCTCTCTGCACCCCTGGAATATGTCATAGCAAAATTGAAGGCACGAAGATAGCTGTTTTATTGGTCTCAGATAAAAAAAAACCTGACCAATCGCTAGACTAGTACCTGTCTTTTGAAGATTACAAAGGAGCGACACTCGACTTCAAAGCCTGTCAGTTTTTACCGTTACGCGACCGCGAGATTCTTTTGATGTACATCAAAGGACCGAAAAAGTCTTCTTGTCTCATTAACAAGGTGGTACATACTGAGCCTTCAATTTTTCTATGACATATTCCAGGGGTGCAAAGAGCGAAAGTGAGCGAAACCCCTGGATATCGAGGATTGACAGAAACGTGCCTTGTAGTTAAATAATCTTTGTACCCGTTGACCAGGTAGCGCAATGATGCAGGTTTGGACTCCTGGTCTGGGCCCGTTATAATTTTACACCCTGAACATTTTATCTTAATTATTTCAATTCTTAAAAAGTTCTGCAAGGGATATTTTTTTCCAGAAATTATTACAAAGTTCTAACGCATAGTAACAGTTATTGACAGAAGAGTGTCCTTGTCCAGTTGCGCAACAGTGAACGCTTCGATCGGGAACCGTCGGCACCTTCCGTAAACGAGAAACCCCACGTTTACGGAAAGTGCCGACGGTTCCCGATTGTGATAGCCTAAATGAAATTAAAGGGAGGCTATATATAGCTATATATAGCTATTGTTTGTGTAAAAAAAATACTACAGCAGAATTGCCTAGTGTTTTGCCTGTAGTGGGAGAGGGAATGTATGTTTATCTATCTTTTTTAATTTAATCTATAACTCTCTATTCAAAACAGGGGAACTATCTTTCTATTAAGGTCAACTCTTAAACACATACATACTGTAACTTGCTTCAGCTGAGTAAAAATGTAAAATTATCTTAAATCTTATATTATTTGATTTTTTTTTTTAAATCCAATCTTTTTATTGGAATCTTGTCATATTGGAATGTCCGTTTTGTTAATAGATTACATTTGTATTATGCGTTAGCACAACAAGTCAATGTCACTTTAACAAAGTTAACAAATACCACCAAAAAAGATCACTCATTTCTGTATTAAGGAAATACCCGTAATCAGCGGATATCTAAAATTAGATTTGCCGTTTTTAAGTCATTTTCAACTGTTTTTCAAAAACAAAAATGTATTTGATTCGTGGTGTATAACAAACCCACGACTTTGTCGATTGTATTTTATAATTTGTAAATGACCAGTAGCCGCTTGTTTTTGTGTTATCAAATATATATGGCAAAACGAATCGCGAAGTATATGTTATATCAGACATTCTTAAGTATTTTAATATACTTTTTAGAAATATCATATCACCAATTTATTATATATGAGTTGACTTTTTCGTCTGCATTAGGATGTGATTAGTGTCCTTGATCAATACATGCTACCCTCGTTGTGCTCCTGCCTAGAGTGTGGTACAATTTGGTTGAATTCGAGGTTACTAATCATTTTCGGTTAATACAAACACATACTCACCTCAACAGGAGTCGATACTTGCTACATTAAATACGAGGTCATCGTGTTTATTATCGGTATATAAGATGGAGTGAAAGTAAAGAGAAAAGCACTGTATTTGTCAAAGAGCAATGTGACGTTTCACTTGAAGTGACGTCATAAAAAAAGTTGATATTCTGTTTTTAAAAATACATCTATTACGTCTTATAATTGCCCTATACAGGTTTCTGAAATTCCCCATACATGTACATGTATATAGTGGCTATACGAGGACCCCCATACATTTGTCTTTGATTCCCCATATTTGTGACTCGATATTTGTACATGTATATGTGCTTCTCCATATATAGTGCTGTTACTATATTACTACCAATACATCTGATTCCCCATATTTGTGATCCCCGTTATTTGTACATGTATGTATATGTGATTCCCTATTTATAGTACTCTTCCTACCATTATATCTAGTTTCCCGTCTCCACCACATCTAGACCCTCAGTATGAAGAAATTCTCATGTTTGAAGATCTAATAAGTTTGTATAGAAGTACCATATGTTAGTTTACCATTAAAATCGATAGCATATATATAAATTCTTGAAAAGAACATCAAATGTCCGAAATTTCAAAAGTGACCAGTTTGAGAATGTCCGTCTTTGACAAACGACTGTAAACAGAGGTGGCTGGTTAAATATTGAGCTTTAACAAGTAGCATTCGCGTGTCAACATCATTCTTTGTGGCGGTGTCCGCTTAGAAGAGCCCTTTACAATGAGGCGATCCTTTTACTTGCTATCTTTACAGTTAAATCATGACTGACCTTCAGATGACCATGGCGAATTTTCATGTACTTATATATCTACAGGTACTATCTTGTATACCCATCATAAGCTTTAATGAATAAAAGTTAAACACCTGCATCCAAAATTCGTAATTCAGTTCACGTGATCAATCTCAGATTCTGTGTTCGAGCCAAATACCTTTATATTGTAAAATCAATATTGAGGTTCTACATTTTCGAATTATTTGAAGGAACTTTGAAATGGTTTGAAGTCGAATTTCGTTTTTCCAATTTCTTGTATACTTCAAGATTTACTGAGTTACACGAAAGTTGCAGGTGTTATTCTGGACCA